TTTTCTTCGCTGCAACTGTCTTTTTATTCCCTACGGCGCATAATTGTGAAAAATCGTTTATATAAAAGTAAAGCAATGTTAAGAAATAGTTACAAAGGATGAAGTTCTTGTATATGTTGCGAAAAAAGCTCCCAGTTTCTCATAGGAGTCTTTAAACTCATGTTAAACCAACTTCTGTACATAAACTCATCCAGATAACTGTATATCATTGGATTTCTTGATCCCTTCACGAATCTAATCCTTTTTTTCAGGTGACTTTCGATGCAATTAGTATGAGTTCCATCCAAAGGATTGCGAAAACCGTCTGTGTGATTGTCTGCATGATGAATATACCTGCGATTAGGAATCGCAGTAGACGTGTAGAGCATCCATAACTAATTCTAGAAACAACAGTCGCCTGATTGGTTTCTCAAGGTCGTTTTTGCGTTCGTAGGTCGTTTCGGTTTGGGTTCCTGTTGCTCAGACTTGCCTAAAACACTAATCATTACAACCAATATGCTGAGAGTGTGTCACAGTCAGATTACATGACGCGGACACCAACAAAACTAGCCAGGAAATGAAAATTCCTATCAATCCAGAAAACATATAACACAATTTTACTGAAAATTATTGACAAAAAAATTTGCTGAGAGAAATTTCAACCAACATTTCGGCTAAGTCCAACCGTTTGTTATCACAACCTACAGGTAATGTGGAGTGCTGTTTGGTTGAATAATTAAGTAAAATTCGTCTAGTAAGGCTGGTATAGTGCTTATGACAAAATATATAAGTCAACTTTGCTTTTCACATTTATGAACAGTTGCCACCACAATTGAAAAAAATCGCCAAACAGTTACAAACTGATCTATTTACTGCACTCAGACAGCAGAGTGATATCTTATCAGGAAAACTGCTTTCTTTGGACGTTTTTAAATAGCCCTGTATCAGCGAACATTCCCCCATAATTACTAGCCTACAGCATTCTTCACTGAATATTTGATACTGACACTCACTGTTTCAATCGAATCGTTAGGAGGAAGGCTCGCGGTCAGACATCCACGAAAATTTGGCGAGGTCAAATCACCTTTGTTCGTTCGAGCACCACCGTATTTAGCTAAGCAATTGAGTTCTTACTGCAATTTTAATACCGAAATGTTTTTCATATTTTGGACTATCACTTTGGTATTCTGTTTTGTCTTCGGGTTAAGCAGGAAGAATTCCATAGGAATTGGATGCTAATAACTTGCGTTGGTTTACATCGTACTTTGCGTAAGCGTCAACACCCCTCTATCTCCTAAAACCCCATAGGCATTTCATACGTAAGTCATTCATTCAGACCGAGAATAAAGATATTAGAGCATCTTTTGTGTATGCAAGCTGTTATCACTACCCTTTGAGGAACAAAGCATCGCGCTGTTTCTTACCGTTTTTATTTGAGCAGTCAGTCTTTCTTTAAAATCAAAAAACTGTCAGTGAGGACTGTTTTCTGTCGCAAGCACAAAGTACACAATCACCGTCTAAGTGCAGCTAATATGAAAACAAGAATAATAATATATATATTTCCTATCAATGTAGGACACACCAGTTGTACAGGCATGGATAAGTATTATTTAAATTACATGAATTTGATTTATAGTGAAATTACATGGTTGCTGCCCTCTCTGACATCAGTTAGTGAGCACATTCTGACAGTTAGTCGTTCAATGGAGCACATAAAGAAATATAGAAATATTGTCTTCGCATTAACAAAAAAACCCAAGTACGTGTCGGATAAATTACAAATATTTGGGAAAAAAATAAAGCTTGAAGTCAATTCCTCCATATAACTTTGTTGTGTGCGGCATCGTATCTTGTTTTATGTTCAAATTGTGTATTAATTTAAAATGAGTGATTAATTTTTATGATTTTGACATCATTCTCAAACCTAGTCGCGGTGTCTCCTGTGTGACCCGTAGTGTCTCTCATCACTCCACGACGACCATCCCGCCTGTTTCCGCTAAATTGAGGTGTTTTTCCACAGAGGAACTTCAGGGCGTTGGAAATTAGTGCGAATATGTGCCCGAGAATCCAAAAAGCCGTGACCTTCATCGATACATGTGGTCTATAAACGCAGTAGTCTTGTGGTGATAACCGAGAGCTGAAGGCCTAAAGGGATCCAGATAGTTACTCAGTTCCACACATACATGTCTTGACTGCATCATTGAAAGGCGCATCTGGATTCAGTAAGATTTATCTGGCGGATGTCTATTATCAGTTACTAGTTCACCCGGATATTGTTTCAGTCAATGAATCTTCCAAAGTTTTGCAGTTCTTCGCATGATTTCCAGTCTAAGTAACGCCACGCATATATTTCGGAGTTTCATTAAAAGTTTTGCGTGGACCAGACTACTTTTACCTAAATTCTGACAGCTTGTTCTAATAAAAGAAAGACCGTCATGATAATCTACAATGCGGTTTCTGCCAAATTTGTAAACATTTAATAAGTCATTCTAGACAGGCTCCAGATTAACGTCCACAGCCTGACTTTCTGGGATGTGACTGATGAATTTGGCAATTGCATTTTTCTAACAAGGTGTAGAGGATTCAAAACTTCTCGACGCTAGCGTCCGTGAAGTTCTGCGTACATGTCTCGGTATAGCAGTTTATCAGCATGGCTTTATTATTTTGACTGCATTCACAAATATCCCAGAAGTTAAGCGCAAAGCGCTGACTCCGATCCAAAATTATTGGAAGCACTAAAGAATTAAGAACGCTTCTGCTGACGCCACTATTTGAGTACACATGGAGACGTTTCTGTCGATGAATATAGCGCGGCTCTCAGGTTTCGTTCATTGCCTTCTTTTCCAGGAAGCTGCCCGAATGAGAAACGCTACGTAGCAACTTTGACTTCGTCACGGTTCTCCTGCCCAATGCCATCACTGACAGTAAACCTTTAATTTATGCCATTCCCACTAGTAAGCATGGATACTCCTCACATAAACCCCTTCATTTGAATTAAATCTCACAATTCATGTCAGGGCTTGCGTCACGTTTCTGCTGAAAATATCCTGGTTGAAAATAGCTCTACGACTGTTCCTCCACCTACTGGATCGTGGATAGTGGTGGGTCGTCAGACTTTGGTTATGACTCTACACAGCGACCTGTGACTTCCCCCAGCCCTCCTCATGATCTATTTCACACATCAAGCTGATATCTAGTGCACTTCAGCACAGCTGATCTAAGAGATGACACTCAGCTTGCCTATCAGACTGGTTGGTTCGGAAGTTACTGAACCAAACACTTACGATATCGCAAACATACACAGAACTCCAAACACCTTATGAGTTAACTTGAACCAACTCCGGCTCGTGACCAGGATAAGGAAATACTGTTGGTTTCCAGAGTTCAGTGCGAATTGTGGTTCTGTGAAACTCTCCTACTATAGGCCTTCCAAAGTAGTTAGCAAGGAAAAAAACTTTCTTCACTAGCCTGGCATGATGTCGGAATACACCGGTCTTTGGTCATATCATATCAACATACATGAAGAATCATTTCCCTTCACATCATCAAACTCCGAACCAGACTCAATTAATCCAGGGATTCATGAAACTCCCGCTGATGCATTGGATGTCAACAGTAGTAAAGTACCTTCTATACTCACTGGTCGGCGTTTGTACTAGATGTAACCCGTCCCTGACGACGCCAGCTGGACACCCTTTGGGTTCATGAGGTGCTTATTTGTTCCTTTTACATTCCTGCTCATGGACTAGGGATGCTCAGAGAAAGGAAAATAAAGACCATGTCACTTAACACCACTGTGGGAAGAGTTGCGCTTATATATGAGTTTTTACCTTTGCATAGACCTCCGAGATATCACTTAACTTAAGCCGACTGTGCCATAGGAAGCTGTTGCACGTCCGTCTCACAAATACATGTATACCCTTTTGATCGACTTGTCATTATGCTTTGTTTTATACCCTGCTCAGCCATTTTGTACTTGTGGTTTTTCCACGACATTTTTATTGAAATGTCTGATAACACAACATTGCAGAGGCTAAATAATCATGTAGCAACACAGGAACTATTTAAGTGATTTCAAATAATGCACTCTATAAGTAGATGTTACGTAAATTCATTCTTTAACCTGATTTGGCCCCACTTTCCTGACTAATCTGACTATTCATTTATATCCTTTTTATGTATCAACTTTAATTATGCATTCATTTTCGTTTTCAGGCTTATCTTTATTATCGCACCTATCGACCATGCCAAATGACTACGGCAAGAAACGTCTACATCAAGCTACAGAAGAACTGTGCCTTAATAATATTGTATGTATTTATTTCTATCTATGTAGGACACACTAGTTGTACAGGCATGGATAAGTATATATATATTTAAAACTATCTATATCGTTTCCCTGGATTCTGAGTGGAACATAGGGACTCAACAACACATCTCCACTTCGCTCTTTTTGGTGTTGCCCTATTCAACTGGGTGCACGATTGTGCATAATCTCTAATCTCCTCCTTGTACGATCTCCTCCATATCACCCTCGCACCGAAGACCTACTCGTTGCTTTCCATTGGGATTCCACTCAAGCAGTGGCATGGTGCTTAGTGTCATTCAACGGCCTTCTCAACGTATGCTTGATCCATCCACTTTTTCCCAATTTTTGTTCGTTAGACCGTATACTGCGAATCACCCATCATCAATCGCCGATACCACTCAACACAAGTCAACTAAAGCGGGTGCGGAGAAGGATCACGTATCTTGCAGACGATCTGAAAACCCATCATCTACATAAGTTTGGTCAATTTGGTTTAAACTAGTTCAATATTATTGTATTAGATACTGAATTTGAGAATATCAGCGAAGTCACTGTTCTGAAAGTATCGCAAACCAATGTACTAAAGTCTGAACCAGCTCTGTGTTCAGTGCAGACCTCCAATTTCAAATGTCATTTCTCATTCCACTGCAGCAAGGTCTTTGAAATCAGTAGAGGATTACTGCTAGCCTGAAATGGATTGAAGTTTGAATGCGGTAAATATTTCATTAGCGCTACTTGTAGCGTAGGTGGTCTATATGTTTGTTTGTATCGTTGTAAATACCTCATTATTACCATGAAGCATTTTTGTCATTAGAAATGCACAGTAAATCTTAATAATGTTAATTACGTGCAAACTGTCGAGATCGATATCTAATATTATAGCCTCACTTACGTATAAAATCTCAGTAGTAATTATCTTGAGAATTTTACATGACAAAGCATGTGGTATTATTACTGAGTTTTGCTTTTGCGTGTATCTGCCACAATTGTGGAAAAAGTTAGCTTCCTGAATGAATCAATAGAAGTTGGTGGGGCTGTGGTTATGTAAACATAGTTAATACATATTTATAGGAACTAATCCTTGAAAGCTTAACCCAAAAACAAGCTTGCAGTTTTAAGTATAATTCAGAGTACTGTCAGGGTTATCGTCAGGCTTAGAAGACCTAAATAATTACATGCAGAGAATGTGGTTCAATTACTCTGTTGATATAAGAATAGAACATGAGAACTATGTTGGTAGATTATAAATCCATTGTGGGTAAAATTTATTTTGACAAAGTCTCGCAGTTTTATACAGTAATATTTACTGATGGCATTTCCAGTACAATTTATTGCTCAGTAAATATTACTGTATAACACTATGAGACTTCATCAAAATAAATTTTACCCACAATGTATGTTGATACTCCAACCTAAAATTGATAGCTATTTTTATCACATGTGAGAGAATGGTATCCTCTGTACCACTTTTGTACAGTTTTTATGCATTTTTTCATAAATATATGGATTTCATACACAAAAAGGCCTTCATGTGACTAGTGCATTCGAAGTCATTGGCTGATTAGTAGTTGGTGGTGCCCAAAGTTTAACTTTGCCGATAGGCTCTTGTTGCATATATTAGTCCTTGAGATATATATCTCTGCAGAGGTCTAGTTTCTCTTTGAAAGCGTTCATCGATGTAGCTGTTACTACTGAATCAGGTAAGGAGTTCTAATCGTTAACCACTGTGTGAGAGAATCTAAAATTCTATCCGTTTTTTATCCGACCTGGGTTTGAGCACCGTCTTGTGATGGCCTCATAAACGTGTCAAATATCGTTTTTACGAGCTAGTGTAAACCACGTTGATTTCTTTGTGCTCGCTTCTTGGTTTTGAGGAGTTCATCCCGCCACTCGACTGTCGTAGCTTTGTTTGACTCCGAAAGTAGTGGTTCTGGGATTGATTTTATATAGTTTGTAGTATGCGGTGTGTTAAGGCAGTTTTGCTACTGTGAATGGAGTTGATCCTTTCACCCGTTAGTCGTCCTGTGTGGTCGAAAAAAAATAGATAAGAATTATAGTAATAACAGTTATAATTGTGTAGGTTATGTAGACTTAAAAAAAGAAAACTTAAAAACAAATTGTTACTGAAACTTGAAATTGATTTATGTGTACACTACAAATATATATATATATATATATATATATATATATATAATATCAATGATAATAAGTGTTAGGGACGTAATAGTTGGAGTAGTCAGGAGAGGAAGACAAGCGAGAACGTGAAGAAGTAAAAGACGAGATTAGGCATATGCCCACAATTAGTGTGTGACTTTTAAGGTGAAAAGCCGTTTGGATGCAGTCCTTGTGTCACTGCATGATTTTCTAGTCTTCGCTTAAGGCTCTCCGCGGATGGTGCAGTAGCCACATCTGCCGGTCGAGAGCTTCAGGGGCGGCAAACTCAAAGTGAAAGAAAATGCGAGAGCAATCGGGTCTTTGCTTTCTGGGGAGCTTTCCTTCGTGTATTCCCACGAGGAGGCCTTTGGGTGATTCTGGTCATTTGTAATCTTATAGGCTATAATTAATTCCCTCCTAAGCTGACGGCAACTGAGTGTTAAGCGATCTAATTTCTTCAGACGTTCATCGAATAGTTTATTTTGGAGACCCACCACCTCTTTTGTAGCCCATCTTTGAACTGTTTCCAAAAGGTTAGTGTCTCTTCTAAGCAGTGCGGGTGCAATGATATTGTGCACTTCAAGGTGTGATCTGACGTACATTTTGTACAGCCTTAGGAAGAGCTCAGGAGTTAGTGCACCTACGTGTGTGTGTGTGTGTCTATGTGTGAAGTGTATAACTTCATATGCCCTCGCTACATCGCCCGTGTGGTTCACGCTTGTGTCCAGTGTTTTCGTCAGAACTAGACCCAAGTTGCGTTCGGGCGTTGTGCAGGACAAGTTTTCGTTTCACAGGATGTAACTATTGCTGTCTAAATCTTGACGTCGTCAGTGTAAAAAAGAATCGGGCAGCTTAGACTGCATGGTAGGTTATTGATAAAAATCAAAAACATCAATGGCCGTATGATAAAACCCTGCGATACTCCTGAAGACGAGCCTTGCCAAGATGATCGGAATCGATTGACCTTAGTGCAAAATTTCCTTTAAGCTAGATAGTCCCTCAACCATGACACAAGAGGCTTACCTATAACTGCCTGATTTATTCTGTGTTGGAGAAAGTCATGGTGAACTGTGTCAAATGCCTTCTCAAAGTCTATGATGACCACATGGACTGGAACATTCACTTCACATCACGATGTCCAATCGTTCCAAACTGATAGTAGGTTTGTTATACAGGTTCTACCTTTTCTGAAACCGTGTTGGGCTTCATGGGGTCTGTTAGTCTTATCGAGGTGTTCCCTGATGTGATCATCATTAATACTTTCCAGTACTTTGATATCACTGGGAGGTGGGCTACTGGTCTATAACTAGTATCTTGCCTACCCCTACCCTCGGAAAAAGAAGGAAGGGTGGCTATTTTCCACTCCATTGCCAGTTTCCCTAAATCAATTGAGTGTTGTAACAGGTAGCATAGGGGCCCTCAGAACAGACGGCCCAATGTCGTCACAACCCGGGGACTTTCCAGGGGTCTCTGTAACTTCCCTACTACCTTCGTTGGGTTTATTTGGAGCGTAGCCACTAGGTTTCCCTGAGGAAGTCCTACTCACTGCCTTCACGTGGCGGAGGTGTTTTTCACCAAAGTGAGAGAGCGAAAGCGGATGCCCGGCGCTCTTCACCGGGTTGACTGTCCATTGGATGACACTCTAGGGGACATGGCTAAACCCTGATTCCAAACCTCCAACGACTGGCGTATGAAGCTCACTGGAGCTCACCGGCAGATGTATGGACAAAGGGCTTGTTGGATGTCCTGGATGTCTGGCCCCATTCAAAAAGGCGTATGAGCCGAACTCCGGTCACCGGCTGCCAATGGATAGTGGACTCCCTACTCCACTCCTACTGCCTTGTAGGTCACACTTGGTTGTGTAAAGGCTAGGGCTGCACTCTCAAACAAAAGGCCGAGCGATTCTAGGGACATCACTCGTACCAAATTCCCATGAAATTTCATGAACTCTCTTACTCCAGTACTGGTCCAACAATGTCGCCTTCGGTGGTTTGGCCATGTTCTACGCCGACCAGATGACGATCTGGTCAAATCAGTTCTAAATCCCTCGCCATTACCATCTTGGCGATGTCGCAGGGGTGGACAGCTGAAAACATTGCTTGGTACAGTCAAGGCTGATATGGAATGCCTGGGGCTACAAACCGTCTACGGACTCCGTCTGTGGAACAAGAATTGGATAACCCTGTCGCAAAACCTTGCATCAGATCGCCGCGCCTGGGCAGCGATGATTCGAGATGTTCATGAAGCCGGCTCATCCTCCCGTAGGAGATAGCCGAAGTGAAGTAAGTAAATTCCCTCTGTAAAGTAGCAGTGTAGCCCTTTCGGCCTATACCGGTAAAACCCACATTACTGTTTAACTGTTTTACAAAGGCTGAACTGAATGTTTCAGCCATTTCCAAACTAGTGAGATATTGACCGTTAGGACCTACTAACGCGCATGCCCCTCGTTTGGTAGGTTTTCTCTTTGACATGAGTCGATAATGGGTTTTGGGGTTCGCCAGGAGTTTTCTGACAAGGTTCGCCAGAAATGACCTATCGCTCCTGACTTGTGTTGCATCGGTTCCTGAGTTCCAGGTGTGTATCGCGGTCGGTCTGACTCTTGGATATTCACCACGTAGACAATGCCTTCCGCTTTACTTTCAGAACACTTTACGTGCCTCTCTTCAGCCATGAAGATCTTTTCTTCGGCTGTGATGTGAATAGAGGGATGGTATCTGAGATTACTGTCTGAATAATCCCTTTTACCACTACCCAGCGTCCCTCCACGAATAACTCATCCCATCGTCGGACAAAGGTCTTCACATTTCGGCACGGCCCGTTTTGCTATAACACAGACAGGGTTGTGTAGCGTCTCACTGTAAGCGCTCACGAAGAATGAGATCAAACACTATGACTACGCAGTCACTACTCTCTATCGGGGTCATGACTAATAACTGGTCACTAGTTAGGATATAATCCAGTTTCGATGACTTTCCATTAGGGCCCCACCTAGTGTCGTCTCCGACGTTCTCAGTCATTCCTGTATTTCGAATGATTTCTGGCAGATTTTGACCGAGTTTTCCCTGAGCGTACCCCGTGCCGAGGTTAAGGGGTGGGGCATTGAAGTCTCCAGCTATGGTGATTTGGTCATAGCCCAAGTCCCATATCCCTGTGCTGGTGCTGAGTGGTAGCTGAGCAGTCACATGCATATCTGCATACTAGATGATGAGTGAGTAGTAGTTCACACCTTTAATGTGGTTAATAAAGTTACTACTCAGTCTACGTAACTTGAACATAGAAAGCGGGACTCAAGTGTAATACTTGATACCGCCTCTATTTCCCTCGAAATTTCTGAAAATATTATTTTGACTAATGAAAATAAGGGAGGGTAAAGATGTGTTAAATTGGTCTTGTCAGTATCTCAAAATAGGTTTACGCAGGAAAGAAAAACAAGAGTGAAACATTTTTATGGTTGTCATAGTTTGACGGTTTGCAGATACATTTTATGCATGTTGTAATCTGTCTTACGCTTTTTAATACTATTTTTGCTCTTTTTGTATATGAATATATAACCATTATTGCATAGCGATTCAATTACGCTTTATTTTAGATTGTTGGTGTTGGTAAATGGCTAAAAAACGTACAGCTCACGTCATTGTTCTTGGTGATCTCTCGCGATCACCACGGATATTGTCTCAAGCTCACTTTTTGGCCCGTGATGGTTGGTATGTAACCATATCAGGCTACAATTCTGAATCAGTGAATTCATGGAGTCCAAACGTAAAACCACTGAATATACCTGTTTGCCCGGATTTAAAAACACTTCATTTCCCTTCATTTCTGGTCTTCATCTTTAAGGTAAAATAATTCTTAAAGTAATCATGTTAACTTTAGTTTATTTTTGTAGCATTATCTTTGTTTCTTCATCTTGTAAAGCATTGTCGAAGTGAATTAATATTAATTCAAAATCCTCCAGCCGTCCCAACTTTTCTTATTACATGGATATTCATTAAGATTACTGGTAAAAGTTTAGTAATTGACTGGCACAACTACGGTTATACTCTGCTGGAACTCAATGCTTCGAGTAAAAGCTTGTTCACACGGTTAGCCAGTTTTGTCTGTTTTTAATCTGTACTTACATTTTTATAGACTGTACTATACGTTGGAAGTGGGTTTCGCCAAGGCATTTTTGTCGAGCAGTATGTCAGATTGCGTTGCCCATTTATGTGTGTCAAAAGCTTTACAGCATGATTTGGAGACGAAAGGTATTCAAGCAACTGTTTACTATGATCGTGCTCCAGACGGATTTGTTCCCACCTCAACTGAAGCTGCTCATCGTTTATTTTTGAAGTAAGAATATTAAATTTTTGTTTATCAAGTCATCAAATGAACAAGTAGTATGCACTATCACAGCTTATAAAATTTGGGTTGGTTACTTTGAAGAAATAAGTCCCTTCCTTTTTTTACATTCTAAACGGAACTTTGGTTCCTTAAATACTATGTTGGATTGTATCACTTCGATACAATTCAGTAGTATTATTTAATTTAATTATTATTCCCTTGAGTTCAAAGTGGAATGTAGGGTTACAACAACACATCTACATTTCATCTTGTTCTCTGCGGTCCTCTTTAGCTGTCGTCACAATTGCTCATAGGCTCTCATCTCCTTACACGATCTTCTCATGTCACCCTCGGACACTGAACTCGTCGTTTCCAAATCGGGTTGCACTCCAAGGCTTGGCGCGTGATGTCACTGATAAAAGTCTGAAGCCTGTCTCAAACGTCTGTGATGACGCTCACACCAAGTCTATGAACCATATAGAAGCACTGACTGACTTGACATTAATGTTGAGAAACCGAATCTTGTTGCTAATGCTGTTTGTAGCAGATTTCCGGACTGATTTCAGAGTAGTGAAAGGTTGTCTGGCTATTCTGATCATGCCTTTGGCATCCTCAACCGTTCCAGTTGTAGTGGAAACGATGCTGCTTAGATAGGTGGGAGAAATGGATTTCTTGGGATTTCTATCGATACTGATTGGTGCTTGTTGTTGCTGGTTAGTTATTTCCATCACTCTTGTCTGTTCTATGTTCACTTGAAGTCCTGTCTTCACTGTCGGCTTCTTCACTCAACTTGTTGGTCTTCACCTGTAGAGCTTTGAGTTTGAATGACATAAGTCATTCACGAAATCTAGACTTTGAGTCTTCTCTCTGGTCCAACGTATGTACGTCTTCTCACACCCCGTGACCTGCCACATGATCCAGTCAACCACAATCATTTGTGGTAGTATGCAGCCTTGTCTTACTTCTGTCTTCAATTTAAGGGTTTCATTGAGTTTTTCGGTTGTGAAACAGTTTATTTATTCAAATTCGTAAAGGGGAATAAGTGTATGAAAAATTTGGTGTGTGTCATTGTCATATATCTGCTGAGTGAAGTTGATAAAGCTCTGTGGTAGTCTGTAGTATTGAAGTAGTTGCCAAATTATTTTTCGGTCAGTGATGTCGAATACCTTTCCAAAGTCGATTAAGCTGAGGTAAAGATTTAACTACCACTCTATTTTCTGTTCTCTTATGATGCGTAGCGTTGCGGTCTGATCAGCTCATGATTTTCTTTTCTTGTATCCAGCTTGTTCCTGGAGAAGTTTTTCATTCGGAGCACCTTGTAGTCTCCCCAAGATTACACCACGTAATATTTTGTTTAGTGTGCATAGAAACATAACTCTGGGCCAGTTCTTGGAAAGTGTCAATTCGCCGTTCTTTTGGAGTTAGACGCGTTAGTCATTCTACTAATCGGTAGATGCTTTTCCCTAATTTCTTACCTTCTGCAATAGTGGTATGAGGATATCTGCTGTGGTCTTTGGATCCGTTTTCAGTGCCCTCGGGGGATCCTATCTTATACTGTTACTTTACTGGTTCTCAGTAGCTCTGTAGTACCCAAGGTTTCTGCTTTTGGATGTTCACTGGCAGTTTTGTGACCGTGGCATTTCTTGACGATTTTGTAGGTGGGTTGAATCAAGAGCCCTTTGAAGTGATCGACTCAGTTTCTTTTGCTTCTCTTCATTTCTATTTAAATTCCCTTGGCAATCTTTCAGTAGTTTTACTTGTATTGATTTCTTCCCGGATAGCAGCCTGATTATCTGATATTATGTTGTTTGATCCTTCTTATATATAGCCTATTGTGCTTCAGTTGCTAGTGTGTCGTAGAATTGTATTTTCTCCCTCTTCTCATTTTTCTTCACTTCTTTATTCAGTTCGCTTTAGATTGAATTCAACTTCTGTTTTTGTTGTTCATCTTCTAGTTCACCATTCCTCTCTGCTCTGTTAGCTTTTAGATGTCCGTAGAGGGCGATTCCTTGTATTGCCTATTCTTCTTTCCTAAGATGTCTATACTGGTTTCATTAACATTACTTTTAGAGCGTTCCACTTTTCTTCCACAGAGGCTTCCCTGATGACGCTTCATACAGCCTCCAATCACCAAGCCATTTAAGGTGTAGAAGTCTGCAAAAAGTTCTCTGTTCTCATTCATTTTTCTGGGCGACTCCCGACCCATAATGGATTTTCTTTCCGTATTGTTTGGTTCCAGTTTGCCGTTTAAATCATCCATTGGGATTTGATGCCATTTGTTTTCCTGTTTATTACTGTTTGCAGTTGTCTGTTTATGCTCTCCTTCTTCTTGTGGTCTGAGTTGTTTGTAGGCATGTGGCACTGTACAATTACAACTTCCCTTCCTTTTGAGTTGCCTTGTTGTTATGACCCTGAAGGAGATTGGTCTCCACTGCATCGATGCCGTTGGTGGCATCATGAAAACCACTCCTTCAGTGTGCCTGTGGTTGTCGTGTTAGCCACCGGCACAGATTAATGACTGTGCAGCTAGCAATCTAGAAAACCAACTTCCATTCCAACAGCTGTCACAAATTCCTAGCACTTCTATACCGTATCTTCTAATTTCTTTGGTGGTTTAAGCAACCTTTCCGGCTTTGGACATTGTACGGATATTCCATATTCCCTTGCATATTTTTGCTTTTGTTGGGCTTAGGACTGTCTAGGAAACTAGTGAACTGATAACGGTGAGGCTGTACTTCAGTAACAGTATAACTTTGACTCGCTAGTTTTGTACTTGTATAGAATTTAGTTTTTATATTTTAGATAAGAGAGCTTTACAAATATTCTAAACTTGTATAAAAGAAGAGGCTTCAATGGTTCATCCACCCAAATGTTAATGAAAACAAAACACTTAGTTTAGCTGAACTTCAATGAACTGCGTGTTTTGTATTCATTTCATTCGGTTTCCAGAATCGACCAGTTGTTTCAGAATAAAGCTGTGAGGGGATCTTTTTTCTCCACTGTAAAGCCGTGAAGGTAAATGTTCGATGGTACGCTTGGTTAGCAAACGCCAAGTACGGTCAAAATACCTAGCTGAACAGGAGCAGATAAATTGATAGACACACATTAATGAGGACAACCGTGGTAGGTTATCCCTCCTTTTCATAAGGATCATTGAATTTGTAGAGAAAGTGGAAGTTCAGTTTCAAAGATTTTCTTCTATGAATTAGACAAATAGTTTCTTAGCATTGACAAACTTAGTCGTCCTCTTTATGAAACTAACATTCGAATTATGTGGCTATCAGTTGCCATTTCATCAATTTATCTCATTTTCAACCAAACTTTCATTGATCGTTTTTAGTTGGAGTTAAGACAGTATATTCATTTTTCATATTCACTGCTGTCTGTTTGGTGTTTTGCAGTTTGTCAAAACTTCTCATTGTCTTGTTCTGGTGTGTGGTTGTAAAAGTTTGATTAATTTTCACGACTAAATGTCACTGCGAAAATAATTGCAATTTTTAATTCCCATTCATGTGGCGAGGCGTTTTATCAGTTGTTCAACGGTAAATCTTGATATTCTTTAATGGTTCCATTTATAAAAATCATTACTAATTACATATCTCATTAGATTTCCCAATGTTACTGATTTGAAAAGTGTTAATTTTTTGATTTCCTCATCTTGCGCACCTAGTTTGGTGAAGCTGTGTCTGCATATACTGCACAAAAGCTAAATTAAATTCCTTAAAACTTATATGTCCACTCATCTTTCGCACTGAGAAAACATTGGTTACATTTCTAAGGTGGGGATTTTGAACGGAGGTGGTTTATATGATCCGTCTGTTAATTATAGTAGCCACATAGGTTTTAGAGACTTCACTGACATGTACTTCATCCCATCTCATCAGATTGTCACATTGTTTCAAAACTTAGAGCGATTTATATGATTAATAATTTTATTTTCCGTTTAATTTAATGTCAAACTAACTGTTTTGAAAATATTATACATAAGCCTTGTATTGTTCGATTGACCTTATTACTAACAATACACTTCATGGGGTTAATTTATTTCCAACAATTGAACATAAGTAGATACAAACGAACACAAAGTTTTTTTGTGATTTTAACATAAGTAACACTTTACAGTCATGAAAATTAAAATCATAAAGAGATTTCTTCTTAAGAACTTTGATTTATCATCGGGTATTATGAATTTAAGTGCATGCTTCATGCAAACATTAGACCACGCCACAAATAATAGTAATGGCAAATTAAAAGCTTGAGTGGTATATTCAATACCGTAAATTTTATTATTCTTAGTATTATTAAGAGTTTTCTTACCCACACTATTATTAGACACTAATTCATTTCTTACGCTCAACCCGCAAACTTTCCTAGACAATCTAAACACGGAAAAGAGGAAAGGTTGGGTGGTAGACTCGGACGTCTACCCCGTAAAACATAAACCCCACCACTACAGCACGGAAAAAAATAAGCATATTCTCCTCTCGAATCGAGAACACTCCTCAGTTGGACGACAGATGACACTGCCGGTTGAAAGCCTTCGGGAATCCAGTCAACCAGCAGCCTCACATCTCTGTTTACTGTCTCTATTTGCATTTCCTCTTACTTTCTTCCCTTGCACTGTGTGCTACATGGAGTGTGGCGACTCAAACTGCTGCACATCGGTGCAAAGTTCCACGTTGAAGCCAGTTAGTCAACCAACATCACTCCTTTTCATGAAAATAAAAGTAAGCTTGAGGGCATAGAGTGTCCGCTGGCAAGGGTGTCCAGATTGCAGAAGTGAGAAGATACGTTATAAAAGTTTCATGACTTTGCGAAAACAGATGGAGTAGAAGTGGACTCCAAAATGTTTGCTGGAGAGTAAACAATTAATATATACACAGGTGAACAATTAATATATACACTGGCAGAACAGAAGAAAAGCCCTGCAGAACTTCTGATGGGTCGAATGCTACGAACTCATCACCACTCCATGTTACCATCATCGTCACATCAACGAAGAAATAGTCTAAAGTATTACCGCAAGGGCGATGCCGTCTACGTGCGCGATTATCCACCGAGGAACAGAAAATGGGCCGAAGGCTTGATAGAATGTCGACATGGAACGCTAATGTACAAGGTTAAAGTTGGGGATGAATGGTGGATAAGACATAAAAATCAGATACGACGTCGATATACTACATCCCAAGAACCTAAATTGCCACTGGATTTACTACTGGAAACTTTCAAAATACCACCAGTCAAACCAGAAGCAAAACAAGAGATGCTACCCAGCCGACGATCCCAGCGCAAACGAACACAAACAGTTCATTTCCAAATCGACCCCAAGGAAAAAAGATACTAAACTGTTTGCAAGATTCTTTTTAAAAGGGGGAGGTAATATATACACAGGTGAATCATTAATATTCAGTATTTATTTCCCACACTAGCATAATCATTGATTTCACGCATCTGTGTGATTATTGATTTAAATTACTGAATTCCCAGGGTTTGTTAATATTTTTAAAATGTGACATTGATTTCCCTAATTGTATAAATACGGAGTTTTGTTTAACATTTTCGACTGTTGTAGAGATAGTAAAAGCTCTCGTATCAACGTCCAGTCTTCTCTTTTCTTTGTCTTGCGTGCCCGGCGGTATTGTTGTTGTTGTTGTTGACGTGCGATTAGGACAGATTAGCCAGCGCATTAGTTAGATTCGCTCGTAGTCTACAAGGTCCTAATATTCACATACATAACAACAATCTACTCCGGTTATCGAGATAACATCCATAAGAACACCAAGCGTGTGGCTAGCACGACTTCCTCAACAGCCTCAAAGTATCTTATGCAATGAGAACCAATGTCCTCCAGAATCATAAAGCCAAGGTTCAACTCCAAAAGAACCGAATTCGCAATTATCCAGTGCTACACGCATACAACAAGGTCGCTCCTTTACAAACTATATTTTAATATAACAACCCTCTTCTCAGGCGTGAGGCTAGCAACTCCACCCTGTAAACAAAGTTGCTACAGAAACTTCAGCAAGATGAATCTGCTTGCGCCAAAAGAAAAAGTCATTGTGGGGACATGGAACGTCCGTACCATGTATGAGATTGGCAAAGGTGCGCAGATTGCAAACGAGATGAAAGATACGGGATCCAAATACTGGGGATATGTGAAAGCAGATGGAACGGGAATGGACTCACCAAATTGTCAACGGGAGAGTCAGTGATCTACTCCGGTAACCCAGAAGACAACCACATGCACACCGAGGGCGTGGCTATCATGATGTCACCAACGGCGACGAAGGCCCTGATGCAATGGGAGGCGATCTCACCCAGGGGATAATGACCGCCAGATTCAACTCCAAAGGAAGGAAAGTGTCAGTTATACAATGCTATGCACCCACAAACAACGCAGACCTCGAATAGAAAGAAGAGTTCTACAGGCAACAATTGACAATACCCCAGTAGGTGACATTAAAATACTAATGGGAGACATGAACGCCAAACTGAGACCAGAAAACACAGGAAGAGAACTCATCATGGGTAGAGAAGCTCTCAGAGAAATGAATGAAAATGGAGAACTCTTTGCCGACTTCTGCGCCTTCAATGAACTAGTGATTGGTGGCAGCGTATACAAACACAAGGATATCCCCAAGGCTACATGGGTGTCACCAGATGGGCGAACCAAAAACCAAATTGACTTCATCTCAATACTGCTCAAGGAAGTGGAGACGCAGCTTACTGGACACAAAAGTAAGAAGAGGAGCAGACGTTGACTCAGACCACTACCTCGTACAAGGGACAATCCAAATCAGATTAAGAGCTTTCAAAGAAACAGGAGCTGCACATAGACCACAATCCAAGTTCCATACTCAAAAGCTGAAGGACCAGGATACAAAGGACATCTTCACTGCAATCATTAGGAAAAAGCCGAGACACAAATCAACACTAGCGAAGAGGTCAGCGTTGAGAAGCACTGGGACAACCTGAAGGCGGTGTGGAGTCAAAATTGCATGAAAGTTCTGGGCAGAAAGAAGAGATAAAACAAACAGTGGCTCACTACGGACACATGGAGATTAACAGAAGAGAGGTGGATGGTGAAACAAAAGATTATCCAGTGCATTGACGAGCAACAAAAACAGGAGTTGAATGCAAGCTATACTGCACTGAACAAAAGAGTAAAGAAAAGTGTCAGGGAGGAAAAAGAAAATATTATGAAGCCATGGCAAGTGAAACAGAACAAGCTGCAGGTAAAGGAGACCTCGCAACACTCTACCAAACTACTAGGTGACTATCGGGCAAAAGTTGGACACAAATTAAGCCAGTGAATGATGACGATAGAAGATCAATCACCAAAGAGGTGGAGCAAAGGAAACACTGAGCTGAACACTTCAAAAGACTTCTAAATCGACCGCCACGTACAATGCGCCTAATAATACCAACAACGGAAGCAGAATTACCAGTGAACACCAACCCCCCGACGACAACAGAAGTCCTGAAGGCAATCAAGATGCTAAAAGCTGGAAAAGCAGCAGGACCAGATGGAACCCCATCAGAAGCATTGAAAATGGACCCAGAGACAACAGCGGACTTGATGGTGTGGAAAGAGGGCAAGGTGCCCGAGGATTCGAAGAAAGGATACTTATTCAAACTGCCAAAGAAAGGAGACTTAAGTCAATGCAAGAACTGGCGCGGAATTATGCTGCTGTCCATCACAAGCAAAATACTAAGCCGCATCATCCTGGAGAGAATCAAGCATGCCCTGGATAAAAAACTTCGACCGGAACAGGCTGGATTCAGGAGAAATAAGTCATGTATTGATCAGCTCGCCACATTACGGATCATCATTGAACAAAGCTTGGAATGGCAGTCACCTCTCTATCTCAACTTCATCGACTTTGAAAAGGCCTTCGACAGTGTTGATCGAGAGGTGATTTGGCAACTACTTCGCTACTACGGGGTACCGCCGACAATAGTACATCTCATCCAACAGTTGTACGACAATGCTGCATGCCAAGTAATCCACAAAGGGAAAGTTACGGAATCCTGAGAAGTGAGGACAGGAGTAAGACAAGGCTGCCTACTATCGCCAATGATTTCGCTGATTGCGGTAGATTGAATAATGCGGCAGACAACGGGCAGCGAGGAAACAGGCATAAAATGGACCCTCACGAAAAACTTAGAGGATCTGGACTTCGCCGATAATATATGTCTGATTTCCCACAAACTGGAAGACATGCAAATGAAAAGCAACAAGTTGGCAGAAGAAGGATCAAACATAGGACTTCAGTTGAACATAGATAAAACAGAGGTGATGAAGATTCCTGGACAACACCAGCAACAACAGACAACAATCAGCATAAATGGGAGAAATCTGAAAGAAGCAACCTTCTTTACCTACCGATCTGGGAAGCATCGTTCCAACTACAGGCGGAACTGACGAGGATATCAAAGCAAGAATCGGAAAAGCAAGACAAGCTTTCATTACTCTCAAGTCTGTGCGGAGATCAGCAGCACTCAGCATGAAAAACAAGATCCAGATATTCAACTCCAATGTGAAGTCAGTGCTACTTACTATATGGATCAGAGACTAAGCGCGTCACGAAGGGCACTTCGAACAAACTACGGACCTTCATCAACAACTGTCTTCGCTCAATACTCAAGATCAGATGGTCAGAAAAGATCAGCAACAGGGATCTCTGGGAGCAAACCAACCAAGAACCGATTGTGCAACAAATAAGCAGGAAGAAATGGAAGTGAATTAGCCATACTCTGAGGAGACCATCAAGTGACATCACTAGACAAGCCCTCGAGTGGAATCCGAATGGGAAGCGGCGAGTTGGTCGTCCAAGGGTGACTTGGAGGAGGTCATGTGAAGAGGAGATGGAAACATGTGGGCAGACGTGGAGCCAGGTGAAAACTTTAGCAAAGAACCGAACGCAATGGAGACGTGCAGCTGAAGCCCTATGTTCCTCTAGAAATTAAAGGAAATAATAATACGTTGTTCTGGAAAAAGATCCTATAAGATCTGGATTTTATGTACGATTCATCTGTCATTTCGCACAAACTCAAAGATTAACACACAAAAACGTTTGAACTCGCAGATGCAGCGAAGATAGGACTACAGGTGAACACTGAGTTGATGAAGATACTCCATTCCCCAATTATAAACACCAGTCATCATCAATGAGTGCGATATAAAGGAAGCCGTCTCTTTCACATACTTAGTCAACATTGTTTCAACTACAGGTGGCAAGGATGGCGATGTCAAAGCCGCCCAGAATCGAAAAAGCAATCTTGGCATTGATTATTCTGAAATCAGTATGAAGATCTGCAGCTCTCTGAACAAGATTCTAATTTTTAATACTTACGTCAAGAGTCACTGCTTCCACAAGGCCCAGTGGCTTGGTGAGTTACTAATGTTTTACAGGTGTATAATTCTCTATTCAAATTTTGTCACATGCAGTGGAATTGTCAACATAAAATACTACGTTTCTGATTATTGTTCATTCTTATTTTTAGACTAAGCAATCAATACGAAGTTTTCAGGGATAAATTGAGCTCCTGTCGATTCACGCGCTTTACTGAGTTAACTGCTCTGCCATCTGACTCCAAAAATAATGGACCTAAATGGCGCCCAGATCGACCAGCACTAGTTGTCAGCAGTTGCAGTTGGACACCTGATGATGATTTTGGGCTGGTGATTGATGCATTATGTATTTACGACGAGATTGTGGAGCAATCTAACTCAGGTTTACCCCATGTGGTGTTTGCTGTAACAGGTATTGTAATTTAACACATTTTTCGGAGTGCGTTGCATCACTACTTATCTGTTTTATAATAAATACATCCTGGAAGTACCGTATATTAAGCATTTGCATAATCAATATGTGTTATCTGCATAATTCATTTAGTCATTTATATGAATATACAAAACAGACAACTAAGTAAACATCTGTATTGAATGATAGTCTGTCATTTAAATAATACTTTCAATCTTTTTCTATCTGGACGTTATGTTCTGTATGATTGTGCATTCTATTTTTTACCTAGACTTAATCTCTGAGTGAAGATGCTGACAAAATGCAGAGTCTTCTGAACACCTTGAGCAGCAATTTTCGGATGTTAGGTATGCGATTAGCCCCTGTTAAATGTAAGATGATGCTACAGGACTGGACTACATTAACTCCTAGCTTAAAAATAGGGAGTGAAGTGGTAGAGCGTGTTGACCACTTCACTTATTTGGGGAGTTGCATCAGCCTCAACGGGCTAATCGCCGACGAAATCTCAACACGGATACAGAAGGCTCGTTTGGCATACGCCAAAGGACTCAGTAGTTCGCTCTATCCTCCTTTATGGCCGTCAGACATGGACGTTGATTGAAAGTGAAAGACATGAAAAGGCTAGCTGTCTTTCATCATAGGCATCTGCGTTCTATTTCCCGTGTTAAGTGGTATAATAAGGTGAGCAATGTTGAGGTTAGGTGTCAACTGAGTGCTAGGTAAGGAGGAAAAATCAATCGACGAGGATGTGAAGCAGCTGCATCGATTGAGATAGGACATATGTTACGCGCGCATGCCTAGTCATCGCTTTCCTTGATAGGTAGTGTTAGCTGACGTAGGGTCAGGTTGGAACAGAACCAGTGGTGGTCAAACCAAAACATGGAGGCACCAGTCAGTGAAATCCACAACAGTTAGCTTAAACCACATAGAAAAGTCTAGACTTCCTGGTTGGGTTCCTCGGGATCGTAAAAACCAATAGATGAAGACAATTAGTGATACGGCACAAGATCGTTCTCAATCACAGTGCAGATGCATTCACTCTTTGTGGTTTATCATATCCAATCAAACGCTATTCATCTTCCATATTACTATTCTTTTCCCCTTGCACTTCTGTTTATTATCTCTCTTTTGAATCTCTGTTTACTGTTTTCTCTTGCTTTGTGTGCTACTTGGAGTGTGGGAACTCAAACTACTGCACATCTGTGCAAAGTTCTACGTTGAAACCAGTCAGTCATGCGTTAGTTAGAATACATATGTTTGTATGTATAAGGGCATACTAAACTTGCACCAGATAACTTCAGTACTTATTATTAGAATGTAAACGTCAACTTTACATTCAACGAAATTAAAAAACGAGCAACTGATGTAAGCGAAAAAAACGATTATTTTCTTAATTCGACACGTCAGTAGTTGTAAAAGCACTGAGTTGGGCAAAAGTGATCAGTGAAACCCAGTCCCGTCCAATGTGACTGAAATTAAACAGTTCTTTCAACTGATAATAATAAAGTGTGTAATGAAAACTATGATACAGTTATGTTGCAGAACAGGAACAGTGACAATTCGCAGAAGGAATATTAAAGCCAACAATATTGAACTAATACAGATATTTAATAAACGGAATATTGCTATTAAATAGTAGTACAAACACTTCAATGAAGGAAATGGTTGTTGACGAGCTCATTTTACGGAGATATACGATCGTGCGAACACCAAATTACTCTATCTATAACTTTACATTTGTGAGGTATTTTCAAATAGAGTTGTGTTTGTCAAATTTAACTCATGTTTTTGTTCGTAGGCTGAAGTAATAAGAAATATATAGAAATGTATCGATAGTTTCTGAAATTGGGATTTTATTCATTCATTCGGTTAAATATCCTAATACAGCTTTGTAAACAGAAAACAAAAATTATTTACTTCTTGTCTTTAATTGCGTTTCAATTTTCCCCTTGACCGATTGGAACGAAATGTTCGGCTCCTATTACGGCCTTTTCCACGGTGTCTGATGATTACCTTGAAGTAATTTGGTGAATGGTGACTAGGAGCCGACATGTCAACTGAAGCTGAACATTTCCGTCCATTCAATCAACGGGAAAATCAAAATTGCATTAAAAACAGGTAATAACTGATGCCCGTTGCACAAAAGGTGGCTCAAGTGGATAACGCTTTGGAGTTTAAAAAATGGGCACTGGATTTGAGTCTCAGTGGGAACACCATCGCTCACTGAAACACAAGTATATCCAGGTGGTATGTCTCAAATGGGACGAAATGGACATCGTAGACTCCAATGCCAGTCACCATTCACTAAATCACTTTAGATCAGTTATTCTCTCTATTCGAAGTGTTTGTGTTCGAATACCTTCCACATTGCTTCCAAGATTCAACCAAACTTGTATTTAATGTGCAGATGATCTACAAGCGAAAACCAACAAGATGAGAGAGGAATCAAGCCGCGAAGACATGACTTCAAGGGAACATAGAAGACAAGGGTGATGAAGGCATCTAACCAACTATAACAAGGACTAACCACAATCAACGGGAGAAATTTAAAATAAGTTATCTCTTTCACTTATCAAGGCAACATCGTTCCCACTACAACTGGAACGGTTGAGGATGCCAAAGGCATGATCAGAATAGCCAGACAACCTTTCACTACTCTGAAATCAGTCCGGAAATCTGCTACAAACAGCATTAGCAACAAGATTCGGTTTCTCAACATTAATGTCAAGTCAGTCAGTGCTTCTATATGGTTCATAGACTTGGTGTGAGCGTCATCACAGACGTTTGAGACAGGCTTCAGACTTTTATCAGTGACATCACGCGCCAAGCCTTGGAGTGCAACCCGATTTGGAAACGACGAGTTCAGTGTCCGAGGGTGACATGAGAAGATCGTGTAAGGAGATGAGAGCCTATGAGCAATTGTGACGACAGCTAAAGAGGACCGCAGAGAACAAGATGAAATAAAGATATACTATTGAAGTCCTCTGGTCCACTCAAAATCCAAGGGAAAAATAATATTTAACAAGTCTTAATCTGAATGTAGAGCTGTTTATCCGGAATCTTCTCGTTCATAAGTAGTTAATTAGCAAAGGTTATCTAAAGATTGTGAATGTTAAGCATTGTCAGATGAAGTTTCTCTCATGTTTGTCTAACCTGATTTTATTTTAATGTTTCATATAACTGCTGCTTACTGTTTAGTTTCTTAGATAAACGCTCCTCTTGCATGAACCCGTTTTTTCACGACGTAATTGTGAGCATATATTCTTTAATGAATGACGCTTTTGTTTCACAGCCCTCTTCTTTGCACTCTTAAATTTTCACCCTGCTGATAATATATATATATATATATATATATATAATCAAGAAGTCTACACATTATCTTATTCTGAACTTTTGGGGCATACTTGCTTGGGCCAACCAATGAGGATAATACACTGATATTTCCATAGCACTGGAATCAAATGAGTAACGCTATGCTAAGGATGGTGGTGGCATCCATTAAAGGTATTCCAGCCATTAAGGATATTAACCTTTGTTTACATTGAGATTCTTAAGTTATTTGGTGAGCATACCTGGTTCACATCGAAATACTTGCAAAGTGTTATTGTATTCAATAATTCTGAAGTTTACCACGAAGTATGCATATGGTTAAATGCTTGCTTGTTGATAACCGTTTAAATCAGTAAATGATTGTATGTCGATATCAGTATCCATACTTGTTTTGATGAAATTTGTTTGTACGTCTTCCAGGCATCTGGCTCTCAAACCTTATATTAACTGGCTTACGTGATTATTGTAAGTTATGGTTGTCGTTCGAGTAACTGGAGTAGAGTACCCCAAGTTACGATTTTTATTAGCATCATTGAAGTTTTGTAATGTTAATAATCTGTAATATTATCTGTCATTCTGTTAATTTGCTCAAGTAAAAAGTGTAACTACTACTCTGTTTTCTACTCTATTAAATCTTTAGGTCGTGGTCCACTCAAAAGCTATTACCAAAAACTGGTTAAGGAGAAAAAGTGGAAACACGTAGAAGTTATCATGCCCTGGCTTGAATGGTCGGACTATCCTATTTTTCTTGGTTGTGCTGACCTGGGAATAAGCATACATCGGAGTTCTTCGGGATTGGATTTACCCATGAAAGTGAGTGCTAATCTTAGTTAAATTATTCTCAAATATATTTCTTCATTATAGTATCCTTATATTTCTGGTCTTGATTTATTAGATGCATGAAGTATAGTAACTTAAGTCTATACATTCCTCGGGAAACTTCTGTGTCGTTTTGCATAAAAAAGCTGTTAGTAGTACTCAGATAACATATTCAAATATTTTTCAATAAAAAGACGAAGGCCTTAAACAACGTAGTCGTTTTTGACAAATGAGCAAACTGCATCTTATCAGGCTTTTATGATTTAATCAGTGGTTTAAATGGAAATAGACTAAGAGTCTAAACAGTAGCTTGAACGAACAGTGAAGTCTAAGAAACTGATAATAACAAGGGTGTGGAGAATAAGACTCCATTGGTGGTACAGCGGTTAGGACGCTCGCCGACCATGCACGTGGTTCGATCCCCGGCCGACGCATACCTGATATCAATGGTCGGCCTGCAAAATTTGGACTACGGATATCAAATCCTGAAAATTCCATAGTTGCACCAAAAGTACTGTGTGGAATCAAGCTATAATTAAAAAAAACTAAGTCTGAAACAGTTAAGCTGGCTTTTAAATACTTATCCATTGCTGACGACCTAATTCAGATGAACTACGATCAAGATTTGACCGAATATTTCCAAATTGTTTGGAATCCGAGTGAGAAGTAGACATATTTAAAAATTGTATTTGTAAATTTTCAGCGAAATTGAGATGAGTAATTCCAACGTTTCGTTCGGCAATTATGAACAATAGTTTGTGCTCGAAACGTCATTAGTTAATATCACTGTATAACACTGTGATTTATCAAAATAAAATCTTGTCTAAAAAGTAACAACGGTATATATATATATATATATATATATATATATATATATATATATATATATATATAACAGCTTCGTCCAATCATATGAATCATGAAAGAGGCATCAAAATATAATAATAACATTTGCATGAACTGCAATCAAAATTTAACCTCAAACTTACAAATATTAGTCTACTTTTGTTAAACACTGTAAACAGTGTGTATTTTCGCATTAGTGATTACTTTCGACTAAAGTTCATGGTCATAGATAACTGAATATGAGAAAATATATATGTATACGTACACTAGTCCTTCCACATGAAGTATGGTTCATACTCTGTTACATTAAAGCTAGGACTGTGTCATTTCGGCCTTCGCCAATTTGCTGCTTAACTTGCAGAATCAAAAAGAGAAAATCCCGATATTGCTAAAACCATTTGGGCAGCAGTGCACTCTGTTCTACTGGATAGCTGTGATTTAAAATCCGTATGTAACAGTACCGTCGCAAGAACAACACTTATCTGAAAAAGGGAAGTTAACTTTCGAGATTGTGAGTTTAAGTGGTTGGATCATGCATTATATCCCCTAGCGTGTTATGACTGATGGATTAGAGCTAGATTGGGAGGACGTTGCAGATGAGCACACCGTAATAATTTTTGATGCGAGGATATGTTGCAGCATGCGACGTAACACAAATAGATAGCTGGAGACTTTAGGTGATATAGATAGGAACTGTTTGAAATGGGATAAATGTTTTCATAGTGTTGTCACCATGTGAATAGTAATGCAGTCCTCACCTTATTTATCTTTACTACTTGTATGATATTTTGCTTTTTTGGCTTCCATAGTGATGTTCTCATGTTAAATATGGTATGTTACTGCGCAAAATTATTATGGACATAATAAGTTCTGATTTCGAAACTTAAGACCGCCGAAAAGAAATGTTAAAGTGCTAATTTTCTTATTCAAACGTTGTCTGACATTACATACCTTTCAAACACATTTAGAATCAGAACAAAATAGTTAGAGCGAACAATTGTTTTCAATAAATTCTTCAGGCTCTACAATTATAAATCCATTAATTTAAGCATACAATAGCTAGTAAAGGCAAATTAGAATCATATCAGAAATGTGTTGTGGAACAAGTATAAGATGGAATGGAACAATGAGAACATGAGGTAAAATAATTTAATGATGTGTGTATACACATAAAAAGTAGCAGTAGTGTTCATATTGTTTCACATACCACTGATTACACTCTCGAAACCTGTATTTTTGTTGACTATATGTATACATATACACATCATTAAACTATTTCATCTCGTTGACCATGCATATTCAAAACTAGCTGACTATTGTTCTATCCTACAACACATTCCTGATATGATTCTAATTTACTTAAATTAATGGATTTATAATTGTAGAGCCTGAAGAATTTATTGAAAACAATTGTTCGCTCTAACTATTTTGTTCTGAATAAATTATGGGAATATTCAAGTGTTACATTTACAGTCGTTCATCTTTTAGGTGGTTGATTTGTTTGGTGTCAATGTACCTGTCTTGGCACTCAGCTATCCAACACTCTGTGAATTAATGGATGAGAATAATTATGGTTTATGTTTTGAAACATGTCATCAGCTAGTAGACCAGATGTGCAGCTTGCTGAAACCCTGTCAAGAATCTACAACTAAACATACTGATGAATCTAGTCGGTTTTTATCCGTTGGATCTGGACAGCTTATCTACTTTCGTGAATCTTTAAAACAACGGAACAAAAGTTTACCCAGAGGATTTACTTATTGGAAAAATACTGCACTTCCAGTTTACTCGAAAGTAGTCTCCACTGCTTATCATGCGAATAAGAGAGACTAAACAAAACGTTGGAATTACCTGCTGGAAATATATGTGAATTGTGATATTTAATATAAATCTACTTTTCACATGATATTTACGCTTTGAATTTATGCCATCATTGTATTGTAATATTATGATGTTTACAGAGGGGACAAAGTGTAGCCGAGTGCAGTGTAACCCATTGAAACTTATCTTGTTGTTACATGTATTTCTGAACCACGACTATTATCTCTTATTTGTTTCATGAGTTAAAACGTAAACATGAGAAGAATTACTGCTTATTTTTCCAAACATCCATCAGTACGCGTATTTTCTTGACTGGAGAAACCAAATAGGTGACTACCACTAATAGCTTATCAGGAGAACGGTTTTACGAAGTTCAGTAAGATTAGATAACCTAGTTTTAGAATTCAAAACAATCTCTGCAAAACCGAAGTGATTATTAATATTGTTTGCATTCAAAAATATAAAAGTACAAAATAAATATAAATTTTTGTCACAGCTGTTTTTTGAGGCCTAGTGTTGCATGCAATATAAAATTGAAATCAAATAATTAGTTATACACGTGGCATAAAATATTTCCAAATTTCGTGTGACATATTAATATGATTATCTGTTATAGTTAGCAAAAGCTTCGCTGTATCTTCTGTCATCTCAGGATTCATACCAAGCAACTGTTCTATATTTTCATTCACAGATTTCATTGTCATAAATATTATACTAGAGTCCGGTGCATCAGTGGTTATCACATTAGCTGTAGGGCAGTAGCCCTTATTATTATCATCAGTATTTGACGGAGAACAGGAAGTGGTGTTTAAGTACTTATGTGGAAGGCAATTTGTATACACTGAGTTATTTTGTCGGTCTTCGATTGCATTCGATCTATTGGGAATAAAAGTTTCGAAGTCACTGTCTGATTCCGATTTCTTCAAATCTAGCTGTGTATAATTTAAATCTTTTGCTTGGTTAATATTTCCTGTACTTGTTTGAAAATCAACCCGCAAGGACGTTGGAAGTGCTTCTCCTTGTGAACTCAATTGTGTATCACCACCAGAATTAATAGATGTCTGTACATGTACGTTGTTTATTTGAGATGGATCAGACATCTGCTCCTGATTGTTTGTGTGGGAATTCGAATTAAGCGTATAGGAACTTATTTCAGCTCCATCTCCATAGCTGATGGATGGGATAGTGGTGTGACTACTTCGGAGCTTACATTCATATTCTTCCTTCTTGTCCGTTTTCGGAGTGAGACATAAATTTCTTGGTGGTATGGGTGGTGGTTCTGTCAAGAAGGAGTTTGATGGAAAATCCATTGTATTACACAAGTCATTCATAGAACGATACGAAGGGATGTCCACTGTCTTATTGGTGTTTTCGAAAAGAAGTAGTGGTCGAGGACAAACCACTATCGATTCAGTGCTGTGAAAATTTGTTGTACTATAGTTTTCCGTCGGTTTATAAGGATCAACAACGACTTCTTCAATCCCTTTTATTTCTAGTCGACAAAATGGACAAGTTTGACCATTGCCTTTGGACTGACAATTACGGAGACAATGTTTACATATCAAATGACCGCATGGTTCTAGTTGTGTGTCTTTATTATTTTCGTCACATATTTTACATAACTCAAAAGACGAACCCATTTCGCAATATAATTGATACTGTTCCTTGGTAACTTGTAAATGAACTTGTAAGAGATTGTGTGTTAAGTGAAAGAGCAGTGTAGTTGGATTAGGCTTTCCGTTTGGGTACAGATAAAATCCCGCCTTTTCTCCATCAACTAGTGCTTGGGCCAAGGATTTATTTTGTATTATAGTTTGTAGGATCTTAAGCTCCTGAGTTATATAACCAATAGCCCATTGGCCCAATTTGGTGCATGACAGTCGGAAGACGTATGTTCCCGGACCAGGATGAGTACAGTAACGCTTGAGAACTGTCTTAACTTGGTCGTATGTCATGAACGCCATATAACCAGGATGCAAAATAGCCAAAGCTTTCCACGTTTCAAGTATATTACACCATGGCTGAAATAATCTGGTGAATACGTCAAATTCGAAAATAGACACATAATCATTGCAGGTAATGTCTATTGTTGTTTGCAAGGCCGACAATTGGCTCTCTGAGTCTATGCGAAATGTTTGAAGTAGAGAATGTTTAAATAAGTGCCATGAAACTATTGCACTATTATCAAAATTAGACAGCCACCAACGCGCTGCATCTGGTTTAGTTATTCGGAAAGTTGTTGAGGCAAAAATATTGTGTGGAAATAGAGCCTCAAGGTCTTTGAGTAAGTGGGAGTACACAAGTGACAACTTAACCAGACGAAAGCGCGCATCTGAATTAGTGTCGAATATCTTCTCTTTAGAATTCTTGAACAGACTAATAGTCTGCTTACATTTTTCTATCACTGTTGAAATGTATATCTGGAAGTATTCTATCTGAGAAAGAACATCATAGTTTTCTTCGTAACTGGCAGTGATACCTTGCAACTTCTCATATATGTCCGGAATAATATCCAAAATATAAGGTGGACTGATTTTCAAGTTTAATTTCGGCTGCTGGCAAAGACGTACAACCTTGTCGAGATACTTGTAGCACAACTGAACACATTTTTTATCAAACATTACACGTACTGGTGGACCAGAATTATGGATGAATTAATGACCTAAAAAAATGATGGACATTGTCAGTGTTTAAATAAAAATGAAGCTAAAACATGAAAAAAAAGGCGCTGTACCACTAGAAAGATTGATAAAATACTCAGTTTAAAAGTGTCACTAGTATGTAAAGTACTTTAATCTTCCTTCCTACCTATGAGGCTCTTATTGCTTTGATTTCAACTGTTATTATTATTTCATTTAATTCCTAGAGGAACATAGGGCTTCAGCTGCACGTCTCCATTGCGTTCGGTTCTTTGCTAAAGTTTTCACCTGGCTCCACGTCTGCCCACATGTTTCCATCTCCTCTTCACATGACCTCCTCCAAGTCACCCTTGGACGACCAACTCGCCGCTTCCCATTCGGATTCCACTCGAGGGCTTGTCTAGTGATGTCACTTGATGGTCTCCTCAGAGTATGGCTAATTCACTTCCATTTCTTCCTGCTTATTTGTTGCACAATCGGTTCTTGGTTGGTTTGCTCCCAGAGATCCCTGTTGCTGATCTTTTCTGACCATCTGATCTTGAGTATTGAGCGAAGACAGTTGTTGATGAAGGTCCGTAGTTTGTTCGAAGTGCCCTTCGTGACGCGCTTAGTCTCTGATCCATATAGTAAGTAGCACTGACTTCACATTGGAGTTGAATATCTGGATCTTGTTTTTCATGCTGAGTGCTGCTGATCTCCGCACAGACTTGAGAGTAATGAAAGCTTGTCTTGCTTTTCCGATTCTTGCTTTGATATCCTCGTCAGTTCCGCCTGTAGTTGGAACGATGCTTCCCAGATCGGTAGGTAAAGAAGGTTGCTTCTTTCAGATTTCTCCCATTTATGCTGATTGTTGTCTGTTGTTGCTGGTGTTGTCCAGGAATCTTCATCACCTCTGTTTTATCTATGTTCAACTGAAGTCCTATCTTCAACTGTTGACACAGCGTTATTTAATCCATACTTTCCCAAATATATCTGTTACATGCAAATGAATTTATAAAAGATGATGGATTAAGTAGTAACACTGAATTTTCCCTATGAATACAGATAAAGTTTTTGGGTTTTTTAATTAATGCTAAAACGACGGGATTATTTTGAATACAAAATCTGAATGCCTGATGTGACAGTAAACAATAATGTAGCCCAAAATATTATCCAAGCCAAAACCTATCATTGTATGAGCACTAGCTACAAATATACTTAATAGACTGCTGCATTCTCTCTTTCATACCACTTTGGTCTTAAAGTGCCCTGCTGACTGGGAAATGGCGAATTAGACTGAGAAATGAAAAGTATCTCAGTGACTGCCAGCATATATATCCACTTAACAATAAGCCGTACCAATTGTGTGAGGGGTTGTAACAGGACTCGGCATGTGGACTGGCGTTTCGAACCTGAGGTATATCTAGCTCAACTTCAGTGTTATTACTACTTAACCCATCATCTTTCATAAGTTCATTTGCATGTAACACATACATTTAGGAAAGTATGGATTAAATAATGCTGTGCAAATAAACGAATACATTAGTACCTTTATGATCACTTTTTGAAGACCTGCCAACAGTTGAAATCAAAGCCAAAAAACCTTATAGGTAGGGAGTTGTTTCTGCTCAAGAAGAAGGTTCAAGTACTTTACATACTAGTGATAACTGAAACCAGGTATTTTATCAGTCTTTGTAATGATGAGATGAAATAACAGGATGTCAAAAAACTTTCATAATCTGTGATATTTGGTATTCGACTGTGGGTGTTTCATCATCAGGGTCCTGAGCATTAACTTCAGTATGAAGGGAGGTATATTTACAAGCTGCATGGATACTTAGATGCCACTTTTCCTACTGCTTGATCCCCAACTCGAAGCCTGTTTTTGTTAGGACTACTCTGAAACCAACATCAGAAATTATAATGGCACAACTTCGCGGTAGACAGCGTGCTCCTCAAACGTTTTACGATAGCATAAAAGATGTCAGGACATCGAGACACTCAAAGTACAGTGTTACAGTTCTGTAAGTCATACTACTTCGTCTGGAAGCTCTTTACGAAGGTTTTAAAGACTATCCAAGATATCTAGAAGTTTTCTCGAAGTAATGAAGGCTGACAGTTGACAGAAAAATTCTAAGATTAGGAAACTAAGAGCTTTTCTTGACAGTATGCCAGTCGTGAGAAATATGAGCTGTTTAGTTATAATAGTGGGTAGATACATTTTGTTGGTATCTGTAAACTCGGTCGTGGAGCAAGTAAATTCAACAGTTATACTGATATTGTGAACACAGCAGTTAAAATTGGACCTACTGACCTGCATATTTGTAGGCGACGCAGCTTGGATCATATAAAATCGAAGTAGGAACGCATTGGCTATTAATACCAGCAAAATCAGAGAATAAAAGGACATTTACATTGAGTATATATGTACACGACTCAACTGGATGTGTTGAATTCGTAAAACCCGTTACGATACCGAAGTCTGTTTTTCAGATATGTTTCAACTGATGCAGTGTGAAAGCTGACCATTCAGTTTGCTGAACACACTTGCTGATTGCTCTACTATGGTGTTAAGCTAGTAAAATGGAGAAAATTTTTCTAGTTCTAGTTATGTAGATGTGCGTCGGTGGCACAGCGGTAAAATGCTCGCCACTCACGAATATCGTCCGGGGCTCGATCCCCAGCCGATGCATTCCTTCACCTCACTAAGCCAATAATAAGGCTTGTAAAGAGGGGAGGTTAGGCATGGGGCTAGCGACCCCATCATGTAACAGTAAACACCACTGCTACCGAAACTTCAAAGATCTACTTTGAAGTCCTATGTTCCACTGAAAACGTAAAGGAATAAAAAAAAGTTATGTAGATATAGCTTGGCAACAGGGCATTTGACAAATAAAGACCTACATGGTGATTTTAAGTCTCAGAATCCACTTCTACTAACTGTAAAAGAATCAATAAAATATGACACCACGAAGTCTGACAGAAAATGAAGGAACATACTTCATTACGTGTGCGCAACTGCTACGTCATTCCCTATAACAATGCTTTCCCGCTGTTAAATATAATATAGTGTAAAGTACTCTTTAGCACTGACTTCTAATCTGTGAACAACTACATTCCCTTACAATCAGAGATACAGCATTTCCTACGTTATATATACATTTATATCGTATATATATAAGAAATCTAAACTTACCAAATATTAAACTGTTGTGCTATCTTTCAGTCTAGACAACATATATTCATATTCGCAACTCGAAATTTAACCACATTATCTTACAGGAAATCTAGAACCACCTGCGTAGACACTATATTCGTAAATAGCGCTCCTGAGTGTTTGCACTCTAATATCCAATATCGTTTCTACGAGCTGGTGTAGACCATTTCGATTTCTTTATACTGGCTTCTCGGTTGTGAGTTAAACGTCCCTGGTCTTCAGTTAACTTTTGCGGAGTCCATCTCTCCACTCGACTGCAAGTGGAGTGTTGCTGGGACTAATTAAATGTTTGTAATATGTGGTGTGTTGCTACTGTGAATGCAGTTTGCCCTATCACCAGTTAGTCCTCCGGTGTCGTCGACAAGGGAAAAAAGATAATAATAGATATCATTAGTGTAGGATTGAATGGGGCCTTTGGAAGCATTATCAGTCAACGCCCCCTATTTTGTGGGTGTTTTATTTTATGATTATAAACTGTTAAACTGATTATGCTATGCTAGTTGATAATTGTCTCAGAATGCAGCCAACAACAGACTTGTCCATAATAATTTCATTTATAGTCGTTTGGTACATAAATTCCAAGTTTTATGAATTACCGGAGTAAGGCACAGAAAGCTCCAGACACTTCGAATAATACGTCTGATTTTGAGGGTAGTAATATAACTGTAAAAACTGCTTGGCGTATGAGAGTGTTAGACAGAATTGAATTCTCAGCTTAACTGAAAACTAGGTTTGAATGGAGAAATTTTAAGGTCCCCGGCTTTCCATGTTCGTGAGCCTGATAATCACGAAGGTAAAATTTTCTCGGTAAGTTTTCTACAATAATTGGTTTTCCCGTTCGTAATCACTTTCAGAAGGCTTTAGCGTAAGACATCCCCTTCACCTACTTGCCCTATAAATGAACACACCGTTCACATAATGCTCTGAGAATGAGGGACAGCTGACTTTCAAACTCCTACAAACACAACGAACTAGCTCAATGGTGTTTTTCCGGGAAAAGTATTAAGAGTGAATTCATATGTGTCAGGCAAAAGCTCGACAGACGCTTGAGATCTTCTCTGTCCCTCCTCTATATACTGCGTTGCAGATAATGACCGCCAGATAGCGCAAGGGCTTTTTCAGTAAATGCAGTCTGTTGAACGTTAGCCTATCAAATGAAACAGGTGGTTTGTTATTTCTGCACCAGTGTTATAATAATAATGTATATTTTCATATAAACATAAATATACATGAAAATGCATGCCATTTTTACCGGCACGATCAAGTATGATATAATGTCAAATAGATTTTCTACAAGTTATATGGTCGAAATAATCTAACTGGCAAGTGATGCACGACCTTCTAGTTAAGAAACCGTATTAGAAAGGGGATATTAAGTCATTTGAAAGCAAATACTGAAGAATTTGCTTCTTAACAATCTTTTCCATCACACTTGAAACCACTGAAGTGATGTTCATGGGGCGGTAGTTATCTATGTCCGCTGTAGATCCGGTTTTGTGAATGGGTACAACGTAAGATTTCTTCCAGCTAATTGGATACGTTCCACCCCTTAGCAAAGTTGAAAATATCCTGTGGAGTAGTAGGTTCATGTAATTTCCAACATTTTTTAAGAGGACGGAAGACATTCCATCTGGGCCGGGGGTATTAGTAAGCTTAAGAGTTGCGATAGCTTTATCGATTTCTTGGGCGTTGAAGACTTCATCGCTTAAACACTTTTCTGTTTTACGAGGGAAATCAATATCCCGGTCATTTTCTAGAATGTTTAGTTTGGAAAAGTGCGTGCCAAACACCTCACATATATCCTCAACATTTTCGTGAGTGATGCCACCTAGGCGTATTATTTTTGGATATGTTGATTTGGAGTTTGTTAACCTACTTTTGAAGAGTCTGCATTACTCGAACTACAAAGGTTGCGATGACAGCAAGGATCTAAGAAGACCATCCTAGGGCAATTTTGTTTACTTGAAATGGCAAGGAAAGCCAATATAACTGATGCAACCAAGAATCATGTGAGTTTTCGGGTAGATAGAGCCAATAATAATATATTTATTCCTGTCTATGTAGGACACACCAATTGTACAGGCATGGATAAGTATTATTTAAATTACATAAATTTGGTTTATGGTGAAATTACATGGTTACTGTCCTTTTTTGTCTGCTAACTACTCATTCAGTGGAGCGCATTAAGAAATAGTCTTCCTATCAACAAAAAATCCAAGAATGTGTTCGATGGATTGCAAATACTTGGGGAAAATTAAAGCTTGGAGTCATTTCCCCCATATAACTTTGCTGTATATGGCATCAAATCTTATTCTTGATTGATATACCAATTGGGAATCAATTCGAAATAAGTAATTTATTTGTATTCCTTTGTCAGCATTTTCATCTCAAGTACCATCAGAAGTAAATTGTTTTCGCTGCAGACTGATATTGGTCATAGCCAAGGAGATTTGTTTTACTGCATCAAAGTCAGCCAATACTGCATGGTGTTCTGCACGAGCAAGTGGATCAACATGCAGAAAACCATTCCTAAATAATTTTGGGCACTGGACACCGCTTGTATATGATGCAATACAGAGTCCCGATATGGTGACAGGGGATTTTTCAAGGACGTGAAGTTATTACGAGCCAAACGCGTGAAAGATGATGTCCACGTAGTTGAAGAATGAACAATCAATCCATGGTTGTTTACTC